GCTGAGGACTAGAGCTGGATGCAGTACTCCAGGTGGGGTCTCACCAGAGCAGAGTAGAGGGGGAGAATCACCTTCCTCGACCTGCTGGCCACGCTTCTTTTGATGCAGCCCAGGATATGGTTGGCTTTTTCTTTGGTTATTTTACTGTATGTACAGTTGTTAAACACCCTCTAGTTAGTCTTCCATTGCAATCACCAATCATGCACGTTTTCTGACTGTGATTATTTCAGGCCTTCTTTAATGAAGGTAACTCTTCTGCACAAGGAATGTCCTCTTTAGGAACAGAAATGTATGCTTGCTTGAAAATGTCTACTTCAGGGTATGAATGTGAGATTAATTTCATCCTGGCCTGTATCAGAAATAGTGTGGCCAGCAGGACTAGGGAAGTGATCGTGCCCCTGTACTCGGCCCTGGTGAGGCCGCACCTCGAATACTGTGTTCAGTTTTGGGCCCCTCACTACAAGAAGGATGTTGAGGTGCTGGAGCGTGTCCAGAGAAGGGCAACAAGGCTGGTGAGGGGTCTGGAGAACAAGTCTTATGAGGAGCGGCTGAGGGAACTGGGGTTGTTTAGCCTGCAGAAAAGGAGGCTGAGGGGAGACCTCATCGCCCTCTACAACTACCTGAAAGTGAAAGAGTGGTGAAACATTGGAACAGGCTGCCCAGGGAAGTGGTGGAGTCCCCATCCCTGGAGGTATTTAAAAGACGAGTAGATGAGGCACTTAGGGACATGGTTTAGTGGGCATGGTAGTGTTGGGTTGACGGTTGGACTCGATGATCTTAGAGGTCTTTTCCAACCTCAATGATTCTATGATTCTATGATTAATGACCATCCCACCCATAAGCATCTAAGGTCACGTAAAATTGCACTTTAATAAGGTAAACTCTACTTCATAATAAAATTTTATATTCTGATTTGGAGAAGACTTAGTTGGTTTATGCAAATTATGGAGGTTTAAAAATAACCTTAAATTTGCATGTGTTATGATATGGGAGGAAAATGGCTATGAAATTAAAATAATAAACTTCTAGGAAGGGAAGGAAGCAGCAGAATAAAGACAAGGAAAAGACTTACTGTTGTCTAGAAGTGCCAGTGTTGTTATTAAGTAGGGATGGGAAACATCAAAGATAAAAAGGTACTTAGACTTTGCAGCTTGTCGAAAGAATTGCGTTGAACATCTATAGTATCTATTCAAATGGAAGAAAATAGGAGGTGTAATAGCAACCAGCTTAATAATGAACTCTTTAATGTTTTGAATCTCAAGAAAGGTGCACATAACCGTGGAAAGTTGAGCAATAAGATCAGGCCTAGTTAGATGCAGCTAGTAACACTTCGTATTTTAGGAAATGCTTAGTATTGCCTTTAAGTACTGTACTCGTAAAAGGAGGGAGATTAAGGAAAAAGTCATGGCTGCCAAAAGGAAAGAAAATTCAAGTTTTTAAAGTGAAGACAAAGAAAAATATTTGGCTGCATGATCGTATATAAAGATGAGAATAAATTTGGAGGGGTAGGTATTAAAGGTTGAATAGGACAAAATATATTAAATTTGTCCTTTTGTCCTGGTAAATAAATAATATCATACAGATAAATGCTAATTTATCTATAGAGTCTGGTGGATGGATGGATGGATGATGTTGTGGGGCTTTTTTATTTCTAATGGGGGGAGGGAGCCTATCTTTGGTTAATTTAACAGTATCTGACTAATGAGTTCAGCTTTTGAAGAAAAGCAAGAAGAAATCCTTTCAGTAGTTCTAAGTTATCTGAAAGACAACAAGTGAATAAGCAAGACCAGCAAGAATTTGTCAGAAGCATTAACTTAAGCTAATTTCTTTTTCTGGCTTGATAATCATGCCTTTGAGTCATGTCTTGGCTTCTGTAAGGCTTTTGGTGACACCTGTGAGAATATCCTATGAAGTTAAACCTGTATGACTTAAAATAACTTGCTACAGTGTGGACATAAATTGTTGAAAAGACTGTACTGGCAAAGGTTATTAATGCCACTGTGAAACTGGAAGGCTGTATCGAATGGCATTACACCAAGATCTGCCTGTGCCCTCTGATAAATATTTCCATAATTCAGTAATGGAATACAAAGTATTCTTATTACTTTTGCAGATCAAACCAATATCAGAAGGGCAACAAATGCTCTTGACAAACTGGAGGAGTTGAGGAAAAATAGGATGCAGGTCAGTGACAAAATTGTTCGACAAACACGAATAGAGGATGGGAGATTACATAGATAGCAGCTGTGCTGTGTTGACTGCCAGGCATGAAATGGAAACCAAGTGTTCAAGGAACCTGTTCTAGAAGACAAGGTATTTAGCTTAACTGTTTAAAAGGACTTGAGTTCTTTTCGTTCCTAGTTCATCTTATACCGCAAATGCATTATATTATTTTTAATACCACTACAGGGTAATTTCTTCATGCAACCTGTTTCTCTTACAAACTTGTCAGATTGGAATTTGCATATATGAAACATCATTTATCTACTCATTACCAGTTTTTCTTTTTAGAGGCAACATTCAAAACTTGCATAGAATTTAAATTGCAAGGAAACAAGGGTTCTGTTGCACTTGGAGGTAGGAATCTTCATGAGCAGGAGTTCAGTGCTAGAGGAGCTCCACTCTTTTTTTGTTTTTCTAGTTGGTAATTTAAGACCATATTATAGCAGATATAGCAATATATGTACTTGTCACTGTTTTCTACAAAGACTGGGTATAGCAGGTCACTTAGTTATTATATTTTGTGTTCAGTTCCAGCTATGGAAGGGGAAAATTTATTCTGTGATTTAAAATTGTCTTTAATATTTTCCTTTCATTTTTTGAGACTTCTTTTCTGACCTAACATAGATCAATAGTCCAAAATTCATGACACTTGAACACGGACATTCTAACCGTTGCTACTATTGCAAACACTCTAATCTTTTTTTATACGTTTACCATCTGTTCTTTAAATTATGAGTGACATTTTATGCTGCATTTTTGCAGTACTTAGTACAACAGCAATTCAGTCTTACTTGGACTCCCTACTACCTGCCAGAAAAGAGGGAAGCAGATCTATAAACAGAGGAAGACATTAAGTGACTTTTCTTGTTTGATTCTGTTCGAAGGTCTGAAATTAACTTCTGTATCTACATGGAGTATCGCACTTCCAAATATGCATGTATGTATGTGTGTGTATGTATATAGATATACAATTTTAGAAGAGCAGAGGGACATCTGTAAATATGATTGGAGGTTTAGAAATATTTTTTTAAAAATTAATTTTTTTAAAATTCCTTTTTCAAAAGTAATAACAAAGCAGCAGTAAGAAAAATTGCAAGCAGTTCAAGTATTAGTTATTGTGCATCTTCTCTGTGCTTTTCTAGCATCAGTCTTCAATTTTTCCTGAAAAGTAAACAATTTCACAGGTGTTTTGTTTAGAGGGCAGAAGCAGATGTTCTCCTTGGCATAACTTATTCCTCCAGCATGATTCTCTTGAGTAATTATGGTACAAGCTACAATGCAGTACTAACTTTTCCGTGCTTTATGTTTTGCTGTATACATTTCTTTAAATATGTTGAATTACTCTGAGAAATAATGAAACTAAAAGAACTTGTAGACACTACTTCCTTTTAAAGAATAATCTCCCACATTTTGGGAATGAGTCTTATATAATCTTATGCACCTGATCAAGATTATAATATTAGATTGAGATGTAGGGGGCTTGATTTCAGTGGTGAGTTG